CTCACTATGCTGACCAGGCTGGTCTTGAACTCCTGGCCTCAAGCAAATCAATCTGCATTTCTTGTAATGATGGAATTAAGCATTTCTTCACACTTGCTAGCCAAATTCTTTCTACTTTTTAAAGTTATTTTTCTTTTATTGACTTGTTGCAAATATCTGCCTATTATCCTTTATTTTTTACCTTATGCTTTCTTTTGCTTTAATTTTTATGTAGTCAAAGCTATGACTCTTTTCCTTTATGGTCTCCTTTATTTGCTTACTTAGAAAGGGCCCCTCTACCCCAAAAATTATAATAATAGTTTCCTTCATTTCTATCTAATATTTTTATGATTTATCTTTTATCTTTAGATCTTTAATCTACCTGGAATTTGCTTTCGTGTTTGGTATGAGGTAAGGATTTAATGTTTTCCTAATTGGATAACCAGTCATCCTTACGTATTTATTGACTAATACATCTTTTCACTTCTGATCGGAAGTACTTCTTTGATCATATATCAAATTCCCACATATATACATAGACTTGCTTGTCTCTGGAATCTATTTTCTTGGCAATCTTATTGTCAGGGAGCTCCACCATGTCATATCTCTACCATCTTTTGTCACTTTGCCCACTTCTAGTCCTGCACTTCTGTTCTTATACATGCTGCTTCCTCTTCTCCACCAGACCACCTGTACGACACATCGCTCACCTTGTAAATCCTCTGAGATCTTTTTGTGTAGCTATTTAATTGCCTCAGCCTCTTCTATTTCCTCCCTAACCGAAGCCTTGCTCTTCCCAGGAATACCACACACTTCCGCTACAACATGCTCTGAGGGGCAGCCACTTCCCACATCATAGGGTTGAGGTATGGGGCTGCTTCTGGGTTACCCATTCCACCACCACCACCAAGTAGTAAAACACCTTTCTTCTGTGGTTCATGCCATCCAGCTGTTAAATCTCCAGCTCTCCGTTACAACACTCTGCAGGTTCTTGATCACTTCTTTACTCACTTAATTTTTTTTTTATTTTTGAGATAGAGTCCTGCTCCATTGCCCAGGCTGGAGTGCAGTGGTGCAATCTCAGCTTACTGCAATCTCTGCCTCCCAGGCTCAAGCGATCTTCCCACCTTAGCCTCCTAAGTAGCTGAGATTACAGGTGTACACCACCATACCAGACTAATTTTTGTATTTTTACAAATCAGATGGGGTTTCATCACATTAGCCAGGCTGATCTCGAATTTCCTTACCTCAAGTGATCCATCTGCCTCAGCCTCCCAAAGTGCTGGGATTACAAGTGCTGTGAGCCACTGTAACCAGCTTTACTTACTTAATACTTTGGATCCTGGTGCCCAGTATTCCTCTGCATCCCAAGGCTGGCTATCATCCTAGATTATTTTTAACACCCAAGATGAAGAACTAACCCATGTTCTGGCTTAGCAGTCATCCAACAACATCCTTCTCCTCCTCAACGAACCTCCTGTGGTTGCCTTTGGATCTTCTTCTCCTCAGGAGGTGTTCAAACTCATCCTTCTGAGCTCTAGTACTACACAGCTAACTGTTTGCTAGATACCTCATAGTCAACACGTCAAAACCAGATTTACTTTTCATGATTCTCACTCTACCTCTCAACCTCTTAGTCAATTTCGCTCTTTTCACTCCTTCCCTTCCTCTCCTACTATTTTCCCCATCTTTGTTAATGGCAGCACAAGTGAATGAGGGCCAACATTCAAATTGCTAAGTCAGAAATCTCTGAGTCATCCTCAGCACCCTCTCCTTCCAACCTCACTCCCACTTCCAAGCAGCCACCTCCTAAATCACCTCCTAAATCTCTCTTCAGTCTTTATAGTTTTCTTTGTCCTTACAGCCATCAACCGGACTTCAGTCACTATTCTCTCTTATCTATACCACTGTTAGCCTTTTAACTGGGTTTCCCACCTCGAATCCCACTCTCTGGCAAGCCCCAACGTAGCCAGAGTTTAGTCACATCACTTATCCTGTTGAATGGACTTTACCTTCTTTGACCTCAGGATAATGCTCTCTTCCTTACCAGGGCTTATTAGGCCATTTCATGACCTTTCCATCTATCACCTCTTTAGCTTCAGAACTTGCTGATCCACCCTAGAGTTGTGTACTTCAGCTAGACATCCTGAGTCCCTTGAATATGGCATGAAGGCTTCTTGCCTGCAGGCACTTACCATGCATCGTTCTTTCTATGTGGAAAACTATCTTCACCCCATCGACTTCTACTTTTAGATCTCATTCAACAGCTCTCTAGGAAAACCTTTTCAATATACACCTTCCCCTTTTTCCCCCACACACTTACGTCAGGTGTTCCTCTTCTGCACTCCCAAAGCACCCTGCACTTCAGTTAGCATAGAAAAAATCACACTTTGTCTGTCTGTATCCCCATTTCCAGGAATTGTAAATTCTTTAAGGATGAGGGTGGGGGTGGGTGTGTTCAATTTAACATTCCCTGGGCCTAGTGCTATTGACAATTAAAGTTACTTGATAAATACTATTTGTACTAAGAATGGATGGGAGGAAGGAAGAAATGCTACTGGAATCTGGTAACAGTGGACCAGGGATAAAAATATTCATAACCTGAGTGCCAATGAATAAGCAACTAGATGTTGAAAATTATTACCTATTTGAAGTAATTAATGCTAAGATGTGATCAGAGCTCAATCCTGCCAGAGGCCAGTAGTTTTCCAAATTGCTAACTGGCTTGACAAAGACATATATGAGTGTACCACAATTTTGTACAGTGACAAGAGCAAAATCTATGCATGATTGGAATTTCTGCTCCACCCCTAACAGCTATGTAACCCCGGTCATGTTACTTAGCCTCTATGTGTCCATTCTGAAAGACTAGGATAACACTGACCTCACATAGGTATGATGAAGATTAAAGGGCAATAACATATATCAAGTGCCTGACAGTCAATAAATGCTAGTTTCCTTCTGTGTTCTACTTCCCTTTTCCCAATAAGACAGTTTTGCCCCAGCAAACCTCTGCTCTCTCATTTGGCCAGAAGAGTCCTGGGGCAGGGTCTCCTATGGCAGAGCCGCACTCTAGAAGCAGCTTCCTTGAAGGGCTTTTCATAAACTTCTTAAGGCAACTGAAGGCTTCACTACTGTGAGATGCCACTCTGTATGAGAACAGGCTGACACTTCTACATATAAAAGGGACATGGCCTTGGAACTCTGAATCTCCAACCTAGGACTGCAGCTCCAGGCAAAACAACAAAGCCACTAATGTGGAATCCTAGTTACAACAAGGACAAGGTTGAAAAGTACAGTAGTTAAACTTTTCATGCATAACACAGTGTATTTAGTAAGCCATCTCCCTACCCCCCTCAATCCCAAGAGCTTTACAAAAGAAGAGAAAGGCTGCTTAATGACAGCCAAGCTGACAAGCACCCTGCATTTGAGTATACACTCCCACAGGAAGGAGGTCTACACCACACCCAAGCCTAACCAGTCTCAAGATGTGGACACAACAATAACATACCACAGTTGGCTGGGGATCAGGGCTGAGTGTGTGGCCAGGAAGCTTCAGCAAATGCCCATAGCTTAAAACAGGAACAATGGACATGAAGAGAGAAGACTCAAGTTCCTGACCCAATAATGAGTTTTATTCATTACAGCCACGAATAGAGAAGAAAATATAATCCACTTCTCTATTACAATAGACTGTAAACACATAAAACTTGAGACAGTTCACACCACAGAAAACTCTTCAAACATGTGCCTCTCTTCAGCCCCTACCTCATTTCTTCAGCTGACTTTGCTGGCAGTGGCCCCACAAAGGTTGTGAAACCTCTTGAGGATGATGTAAATTGACTCTATTTTATCACTTATTTTCAGGGCCAGTAGAAGAAATTTAGGAAACTGCAGAAACATAAGAGTGACTGCTTTTGTTTGTTTTTGTTTGTGTTTTTTGTTTTTTGAGACAAGGTCTGGCTCCGTTGTCCAGGCTGGAGTGCAGTGAAACCATCTTGGCTCACTGCAACCTCTATCTACCTCCTGATCTACCTACCTCAATCTACCTACCTCAATCCCAAGAGCTTTACAAAAGAAGAGAAAGGCTGCTTAATGACAGCCAAGCTGACAAGCACCCTGCATTTGAGTATACACTTCCACAGGAAGGAGGTCTACACCACACCCAAGCCACACTTTTCCCATCCTTATCCCTCTTTAATCCCAGCCCCCACCCTCATCACATCCACCAGACCTGAACTTTGAGCTCAATCATAACTCTTTGTGCCTCTATTCAAGCCTTTCTTCCTGCCTGGAATACCCTCTTTTCAGTCCTGGCTAATCACATCTACCACCCCATTCCAAGTGGCCGCTGGAAACTCACTTTCTTACGGAAATGTTCTGTGATTTCTTTCACAGCTTACACGTTTTTTTTTTCTTTGAGACGGAGTCTCCCTCTGTCGCCCAGGCTGGAGTTCAGCGGCCAGATCTCGGCTCACCACAACCTCCGCCTCCCGAGTTCAAGCCATTCTCCTGCCTCAGCCTCCCGAGTAGCTGGGACTACAGGCGCGCACCACCATACCCGGCTAATTTTTGTACTTTTAATAGAGACGGGATTTCACTATGTTGGCAAAGCTGGTCTCGAACTCCTCACCTCGTGATCCGCCAGCTGAACATTCTATGTGTTAGACACTTGTATGTAACTTTGCATAGTTCCCGCATTATGTCTCCCTGACTTGGAGTGTTTTCTCTGGTCTCCTCTACCCAGACCTTGGTCACAGCCTCACTAGGATCCCGCATCGCTTGAACATGGTCAGAAGCTTGGATTTCTGCTGGCACAGTATTTTCAATAAATTGATCTCCTGATTGACAGTAGTAGGCATCTCTGGAGGAAAACCTAATACAGCTCCAGGAGGAAGTGGAGTGCCTGCGATCAAGAGGGCTGAGCAAAAGCCCAGAGGGCGTCTCCGGAGCCTTGGGGGAGCTGACCCCAGGCAGGCTCTCTCAGGGCCTGGGAACAAGGCAGGACAAGTCCAACTCACCTGTGAGGTAAGGACGGGGCCAAGACCCGGAACCGAAAAGCAGGTCCCGATAGCGTTGGAAGGCCTCATCGAGGACAGAGCAGCCGGGCTGCGCGGCCGAACTGACATCATACTGGAATTGAAAGTTGTTCGGGTAAAGGACGTAGCGCCGGTCGGAGGTGTGGATGTTCTGGGGCCAGGGCCATAGGGCCGTCACCCGCCCCGCGAACGCTGCCACCAGCAGCAGCGAAAACCAAAGCCTAGAGCTTGCCATGGCCCGCCGGTCACCCGTCTCGGAGGGGGCTGGCCACGTGGGACCCTGGTCAGGTGAGCGGCGCCCCCGTGACTATCGGCGTATCACGTGACCAGCGACGGCTCTGCGCCTGCGACCCCGCGAGGACCCACTCCCTGCCCTTTCACTTCCGGCCTGGAGGTGGGGCTCCCGCTGCGGGTAGCGGAGCACGCTGAGCGTCTGCAATGGCGCCGCTGCCCGGGCGGGTCACGGGCCCGGCGGAGCAGTAAATAACCCGCCATCCCTGCGGCTAGACAGCGCACCCGACTCGAGAAGCGCGGACTGGGAAGACGAGACCGCAGGGCGAGCTGGAAATAAAGTTTCCCAGATGGCTCTAGGCTGAATCTTGAACGTTGTGATAGAGCTTGCCAGGCCTACTGGGAGGTAAAGGACTTCTCAGACTGAAGTAACTTCAGAAGCAGAAACACAGAGGATTAAAACCACAAGTCACTGTGATGTGAAATTTCGTGGGGCAAGAGAGGGCTGGAAGTAGGTCGTCTGCACGGCTGTGCTAGAGGGGGGATCACAAGATCACACAAATGTGATTTACTTATGACTGGAAAAAATACGTACTTTCAGAGCCAGCTTGAGGCATTCCATTGCCTGCCTACGACATGGACTCTTCGCTTCAAGACTGACTGTAAATCTAGTTGATCCTCACATCCCTTTTCTCCAAACAAAACCCTACAGACCCTGCTGTGTATTTACTGCAAGCAGTAAGATATTGCTGGGGCTTTGGGTTCAAGATGGAGAGTGCCCAGAGATCATGACAGGGGCCTGGTCCTGCAGAGGCTTACATAGGAAGTCGAGGAATTTATTCTGTGAGCAACTGCAAATCATCCCGAAAGATCTGCATTTTAGAAATATGCTGAATTGTTGCATGGATAAGAAACTAATTAGGAGGCCCTTTTTTATTGGAGGTAGAGGATAATGAGAGACTGAACTACAAAAGTGGGGAAGGGAGAGAGCTGTAGATCCAAGAAATAGTGGATATCCAGAAAAGAGGCTTGAGAAGGGATCAAGGAGAATTCCACAATTATCAGAGACCCTGTCTTCCTTGTTTACCACTGTATTACCAGAACATAATACAAATAATGCTATTGTTATTGGGTAGCATTAATTGGTTAGTAGGTACTTTAAAAAAAATTTTTTTTTTTTTTTGAGACAGAGTTTCGCTCTTGTTACCCAGGCTGGAGTGCAATGGCGTGATCTCGGCTCACCGCAACCTCCGCCTCCCGGGTTCAGGCAATTCTCCTGCCCCAGCCTCCTGAGTCGCTGGGATTACAGGCACACGCCACCATGCCCAGCCAATTTTTTGTATTTTTAGTAGAGACGGGGTTTCACCATGTTGACCAGGATGGACCTCGTGATCCACCCCCCTCGGCCTCCCAAAGTGCTGGGATTACAGGCTTGAGCCACCGCGCCCGGCCTTTAAAAATTTTTTAATTGAATTTTAGTATTAAAATACATGTACAGAGCAGGAAAATGAACTTTTTAAAATAAAGGGCTTTCACTGGGCATGGTGGCACATCCCTGTAGTCCCAGCTACTCAGGAGTCTAAGGCAGGAGGATCACTTGAGCCCAGGAGTTCAAGTTTAGCCTGGGCAATATAGTGAAACCCTTTCTCAAAAACAAAACAAAAAACAAGTAAATAAAGGGCCACTGAAATAATGATAATTTATATTCAGGTTACAGGTACCTAATTACTAGTTATACATACATGGCTTTGATGAGAAATCAAAGAAACATTCTAACAATACAGACATTCATCAAACAATTTGTCTTTGAAAGTCGATTATGATAGAATGGAGCCTGTAGCAAAAGAAGCAGAAATTAGATCCCACAGTCATCAAGTTTCAGATCCCAAGGCTTCTTGCATTCTTTTTTTTTTTTTTTTTTGAGACAGAGCCTTGCCCTGTTGCCCAGGCTGGAGTGCAATGGCGCGATTTTGGCTCACTGCAACCTCCGCCGCGGGTTCAAAGGATTCTCCTGCCTCATTTCCTGAGTAGCTGGGATTACAGGCGCTCGCCACCACGCCCAGCTAATTTTTGTATTTTTAGTAGAGTCGGGGTTTCACCATGTTGACCAGGCTGGTCTTGAACTCCTGACCTTGTGATCCACCTGCCTCGGCCTCCCAAAGTGCTGCGATTACAGGTGTGAGCCTAGCCGCATTCTTAAACTAATTTCTTCTTTACTTAAATCTTAATTTTCATCAGCACTAGTAAGTGTCTGGGCACTCTGCCAGTCAGGAGAGACGTTACCAAAGGTACAAAGGTAGAGGTTTGGAGAAGCATTGTCAGAAGTCAAGTTCATAATCAGGCCCATAGGATCAATAATTTGGGGAGAGTTCAGAGCAGTTTCAAAGATGAGAGCAGTAGATCAAAGTAGAATTTCAGGACTGAGCACATGCCAAGTCACCCTTTTATGTGTACCAGTAGGGAGGAGTCATTTACTTAAAAGAGTCACACAGGATGAAAGAGCTAGATCCAAATAAAGACGTTATAAACAATTACTAATGGGGCCACGCATGGTGGATTACAGTGATTCAGTTATTTCATTACTACTGAAAGAGTTCTTTTAGACTTAACCAGATTTTTTTTAACCAAATATCATTCTTATGCATACATAAAAGTAAGTGGCACAAGATAAATTTGTTGATCTTTCAAAATATCCCCCCTTACTATACACTAGAGTGTGGTTTTGGCTTGACAGACAAATAAATGGAACGAAATAGAGGGGCCAGGAAAAGATCCATTTGATTATTACTCAATTTCAACAAAGACACCAGTTTAGTGGGGAAAGCAAGTTATTTTCAATAAAAGGTGATGAAGAAAATAGATATCCCTATGTGGGAAAAATGAACTATGATCCCCTACCTTACAGCATACACAAACTTAATTAAAAATGGATCACAGGCAGGCCGGGTGCGGTGGCCCACGCCGGTAATCCCAGCACTTTGGGAGGCTGAGGTGGGTGGATCATGAGATCAGGAGATCAAGACCATCCTGGCCAACATGGTGAAACCCTTTCCCTACTAAAAATACAAAAAAAAAAAAAAAAAAATTAGCTGGGTGTGGTGGCGCATGCCTATAGTCCCAGCTACTCAGGAGGCTGAGGCAGAATTGCTTGAACCCAGGAGGCAGAGGTTGCAGTGAGTTGAGATGGCACCACTGCATTCCAGACTGGGAGACAAGAACGAAACTCCGTCTCAAAAACAAAACAGAACAACAACAAAAAAAAGGAAGTATTTCTTTTTTCTTTCTTTCTCTCTCTTTCCCACCTTTCTTTCTTTCTTTCCCTCCCTCCTCCACTCCCTCCCTTCCTTCCTTCTTTTTTTCTGAGACAGGGTCTCACTTTGTTGCCCAGGCTGGAGTTCACTGGTACAATTACAGCTCACTGCAGCCTGGACTTCCTGGGCTCAAGCAGTCTTCCCACTTCAACCTCCCCAGTAGCTAGGGCCGCAGGTGCCTGCCACCATGCCCAGCTAATTTTTAAAATTTTTGAAGAGATGGCATCTCACCATGTTGCCCAGGCTGGTCTCAAACTCCTGGGTACAAGTGACTCTCCCACCTCAGCTTCCCAATGTGTTGGGATTACAGGCACAAGCCACCATGCCTGGCATAGTATTTCTTGAATCTCCTACAGGTGTGCTGAAACAGCAAGCCCCTCAGTCCTTGGGGTGGTAGGGCTGGGGTGGCTAGTCATCCTTGGCCAGTCACCCCAGTCAAGAGCAGTCTCTTCCTGTGTGTGCTGTGATGTGGGAAAGGGGGAAGCATCACCTCCTCTTGGGTGCTTTTTTATTGTACCCTCATTATAGTCTCTTTACTTGTCCATGTCCTCCGCAGCCCACACGCTGAATGAATAGTATCCTTTTCACAATTGTATCCTTACTGCCTAAGCCAGGACTCTGCACACAGTAAGTGTTCAGCAAGTACTTGCTGAATGAATGCATGAAAGAAGCATTTGTGTTAAATTTTGAAATAGTCTAAATTTCAATGTGTAAAGGAAAAGAGCAGTCTATAGAGGGAGACCACAATCTAGAAGGACAACTCTATGTAACTTGTTCACTTCAGGATCTCCAGGTTCTGGAAGAGTGCCTGGCACATAGCAGATGCTTAATGAATACTTTTTGGATACATACAGTGAAATAGCAAATGAACCCAGGCAGAGATATCCAAAGCATCTGGAGAGACACTAGAGAAGTAAGCAATTCTGTTTGGCTAGAACAAATAGTGCATGAAGAGAAATACTAACAAAAGGAATGTTAGAAAGTAGGTTGAAACTGGATTGTAAAGTAAGGAAGGTAGGAAATTGAGTGAGGTAGCAGACATATTTGTCTTATTTATCTCTCTCAACAGCTGTGTGAAAATGAGTCCTAGCTACATTTTACAGATGAGGAAATTGACTCAGAATTAAAATAACTTGACCCAAGTCTCAAACAGTTGTCAGAACCAATGTTTGGACCAGGTCTTCTGTTCCAAAGTCCATTTCTTTTTATATCTATCACAGTTCCTTGAAAGCTAGGCTTTTTTCCTGAAAGCAGATTTTATTGAGATTTTACTCTTGAGTCCATGGCAAGTGAGAGAAATTTCTTTAGTTGAGGAACAACAAGGTCAGAGCTAAGATTCACTAAGATTTATCTGTTAATGTATGAGGGAGAGATTGAATGTGAAAGCCAAGTGCATGGAAATTATCTCTGAGGCTATTAGCTAAGAATTTAACAACCTGACCATCCTTATGTGCTGTGGGACTGAGAAAGTGGAGACTTAAATTCACTTGGGAATGATGGCTTCATTTCTTTTGTCCCACGTTAGGTGGCCAGACCAGCAACACTTAAGCTTTTTTTAACTTGTCAGTGTTTACAGAAGTGGAGGTTGCCAAAATTCTCTGTGCACCCTGACTCCCACTCCCTTTTTAATTTTTTTTTTTTTTTTTGAGATGGAGTTTTATTCTGTCGCCCAGGCTGGAGTGCAGTGGGATGATTGGCTCACTGCAACCTCTGCTTCCTGGGTTCAAGCTATTCTCCTAACATAGCCTCCTGAATAGCTGGCATTACAGGCACCCGCCACCACGCCTGGCTAATTTTTGTATTTTTCGTAGAGACAGGGCTTTGCCATGTTGGCCAGACTGGTCTCAAACTCCTGACCTCAAGTGATCCAGCCACCTCGGCCTCCCAAAGTCTGGGGATTTATAGGCATGAGCCACCATACCCAGCCACCTTTATTTTTTGTTAAAAAAATTTTTTTTTTTAGAGACAGGGTCTCCTTCTGTTACCCAGGCTGGTGTGCAGTAGTGCAGTGGCACAATTATGGGTCACTGCAATCTTGAACTCCTGGGCTCAAAGGATCCTCCCACATCAGCCTCCCAAGTAGCTGGGACTACAGGCAGATGCTACCATGCCAGGCTAATTTTTAAAGTTTTTGTAGAGATGGGGATCTCCCTATGTTTGCTAGGCTGGTCTCAAACTCCTGGGCTCAAGCGATCCTCCTGCTTCAGCCTTCCAACGTGCTGCGATTATAGGTGTGCGCCACTGGCCCAGCCATCCTGACACTCTTTAAACCCGTTCCATTTCACGTGCCTCTGCCTCTGCTTTACCCGGTTGCCTCCAAGCTCTTCAATCCCTATTTCTAGATTTACAAAACTCTATCCAATTTATTACTACTGATCATGTACAATTTTCTGTTGGGTTTCTAAAAATGTGTCCAGGGCCCTGTGTGGTGGCTAATGCCTGTAATCCCAGCACTTTGGGAGGCAGAGGCAAGAGAATTACTTGAGCCCAGGAGTTCAAGACAAGCCTGGTTAACATAGGGGGACCCCATCTCTACCTCTACCAAAATTGTGTCCAGTGTCCTTTCTCTTTTAGCCCAATCCCTTCCTGTCTTCTAGTCTTATAATTATCCGTTATCTTAGTCAGGTTTACTCAATAAGTCTTAGCAGCCTTTCCTAAAACTAAACATACACACCTTGCAGTAACTGGCTTTGTCCTATATCTATTCCAATCTGAGGATATAAATGACTTTTCTTTTCTTTTTTTTTTTTTTTTTTTGTAGAAACTTGCTGTGCTTTTTAAGGGTTTTGCTATATTGCCCAGGCTGGTCTTGAACTCCTAGCCTCAAGCAATCCTCCCACCTAGGCCTCCCAATGTGCTGAGATAACAGTTGTGAACCACCACACCCAGCCAGGCTTTTATTTATGGCCTGAATTTTTTACAAAGGATTTTTTGTGTGTCATAAAACTAAAGCTCCAGGGGAACTTTCAACAGATCTGAGCTAAAGGAGTGACAGTAGAAAGGAGGCTGTGGGACAAATGCAATATTTCAGATACAGAATTATGGAAGTCAGCAGCTAACTGGCTGCTTCGGGGATGGGGACAAAGGAAAGGGGAGGGGAAAAGATGTGAGCGTGTACCCACTTGGAAAGGAAAAGAGCATGACTTTAGTTATTCATTAAAGGAGTATTTTGTTTTTTTCTTTTCTTTCTTTTTCTTTTTTTTTTTTTTTTTGATTGTTGTTGTTTTGAGACAATATCTCACTCTGTTGCCCTGGCTGGAGTGCAGTGGCATGATCACAGCTCACTACATTTCCCAGGGGAATGATGGTACACTGGCTCAGTACAAACGGAAGAGCAGATTTGGGAAAAAGAGGATGAGCTCTGGGACATGCTGTTTTGACGGATTTTTTTTTTTTTTTTTTGGGACAGAGTATCGCTCTGTTGCCCAAGCTGAAGTGCAGTGGCACAATCTCAGCTCACTGTAAACTCCACCTCCCAGGTTCAAGCGATTCTCCTGTCTCAGCCTCCCGAGCAGCTAGGATTACAGATGCATGCCACCACATCTGGCTAATTTTTGTATTTTTAGTAGAGAGGGGTTTCACCATGTTGGCCAGGCTGGTCTCGAACTCCTGACCTCACGTGATCCACCCGCCTCAGCCTCTTAAAGTGCCGGGATTACAGGTGTGAGCCGCTGCGCTCAGACCATTTTGAGGGATTTTAACAGACAATTAGGATGTCCAGCAGAGCTGAGATTGGGAGCTCACCAGAGAGCTTTAAGAGTCATCTGCCCAGAGATAACAGTTGAAATCATGAAAATATATGATATAGCCAAGGGAAATTGGGAAAAGATGTCAAAAATTAGAGGTAAAGATGAGAGAGAAGTTTGTGAGAGATAAGAGAAAAGAGTAGAGATGGAGAAGAGTAGACTCAGATCAGAGATGATGTAGATGAGGGGAAAGGCAAGAAAGGACCTTTTCAAGGTCTCCTCAATTCAGCCTCTACATGGGGGTCCCCAACCCCTGGGCCATGGACTGGTACTGGTCTGTGATCTGTTAGGAACAGGGCTTCACAGTAGGATGTGAGGATGTGATCAGAAGACCAGCGAGCATTACCACCTGAGCTCCACCTCCTGTCAGATCAGCAGCAGCATTAGATGCTCATAGGAGTGTGAATCCTATCGTGAACTGCACATGTGAGGTATCTAGGTTGCACACTCCTTATGAGAATCTAATGCCTGATGATCTGAGGTGGAACACTTTCATCCTGAAACCATCCCAACTCATTCTCCCCCTCCCTATCCCACCATTCCGTGAAAAAATTGTCTTCCTGTAAACCAGCTCCTGGTAGCAAGAAGTTTGGGGACCACTGCCCTACACTGTTGTCAGAGTTTTATTTATCTAAATTGTATGTCTGATCAAGTCATCTTCCTTCTCCAGAACTTTTAATGGCTGTGCAGTGCTATCAGGATTAAATCCACTGTTAGGATTAAATCCACTGTTATGATCAGGGCCTTTTGCTTGCAAGGAATAGAGACTTATGTTATTTCAGGAAAACAGAAGTCTATGAAAGGGATATACATAGCAAACCCAGAAAAGCACAAAACCAAACTTCGAAAAGGGCAGAAATCAAGGGCCTGGCTACTCTCTCAACTCCTCTCTCTCAGGGTTCTTCTGCTTCTCTTAGAATGCCTGATCAGTTTTCCTCTTTGCTTGTCAGCTACTTCAACTGCCTTAAAACCTCTATTTTCTCCTGATTGGAGCGTTGCACAAGATACATAATGGCCACCTCAGCCCTACTCCATCGAATTTTCCAGCTCCAGGACCCTCTCATTCTCCCATCTATGCCAGTGGTGATCCTACTGTCCTCCAAAGCTCTGTGCAAATCAAGATTGTTCTGATCCTCCCAGTCAGAGTTAATCCCTCCATTGTGATTCCATAATCTGGATTCCACAAATACATCTTTTATCACAGCCAAACTTGTGTTATGATTATTTATCCACGTTTAGCACTCCTATGTATCTAGGAAGGCATACGCCATCTTAGGTTTTTTAACTGGCTTTATCACTGCCACTGTAATTGGTATATACACACACATATATGTGTATGTGTGTGTGTGTGTATCTATATATATATGTATATGCAGTTTGTCTGCTAACAATAAACTATTCCCATGAATTTACACATTGGAGCCCTTAAAAGGCTGTTTTTTAATCTGTGTGATGACGGTGTTGATTAAAACATATATAGGCTGGGCACAGTGGCTCATGCCTGTAATCCCAGCACTTTGGGAGGCCGAGGTGGGTGGATCACGAGGTCAGGAGCTCGAGATCAGTCTGACCAACATGGTGAAACCCCGTCTCCACTAAAAGTACAAAAACAGCAGGCTGTGGTGGTGCATGCCTGTAATCTCAGCTAATCAGGAGGCTGAGGCAGGAGAATTGCTTGAACCTGGGAGGCAGAGGTTGCAGTGAGCCAAGATCGCTCCACTGCACTCCAGCCTGGGTGACAGAGACTCTATCTCAAAAAAAAAAAAAAAAAATACACATACACACACACACACACACACACACACATATCCACTCTATGATTTCATTTTGTTAGAAAAAATTAACACACCTTCAGTGGTCATATTTTTAAATAACATTTAA